TCAAAATAATGTACACACCGTTGTGTAGGATCACCTGAACTAGCAAGAATGTGAAGATTCGTTTCGTCTAGACTCATCTAGATATGTATAAAATTTGATTTAAAAAATCAAAAATTTTTTTTCGTGAATTTCGTGTAATAAAATGAAATTACCAAACCGAGGGTTAATCCTGCAAAAAAAGTCAATCGAAATTAGTAAATTATTCATTGGAGATAAATTAATGTATTATCATTCTCATTCTCATAAAGCAAGGATTACCAGCAAAAAGTCCTCCCAATAATACAAGAAAAACGGCAATTCCAACTTTTGACCAGAAAGGAAGTTCAATTGTTTCATGTTTATCCAGCTGAATTAATGGTACCTCGATGTCTTCGTCAATGTTGTATGGGAGCGCGAGTATTTTAGATAAAGAAGCCAACAAAAAGCCCACTACGTATATTGTTCGGAACATTTCATTTGAATTTTTTAAAGAACGATGAGTGTAACAGATTTATGACGAAAAATAGGGTAGAAAATGAGGTGCTCAAGATGATGTTGTGTAAGGAAAATTGTGTTGCATTAGTCTTAAAAGGACATTGGCTGATCTGAAAGTCCGAAACATAACGATAAAGAATTGTACATACACCTCACTTAAATTACCGGAAATCGATTATAAATTTCTATTTTGTAGGTTTAAACGGAAAAAAATTTTTCTAATATTTAGTACGTCTTTCTCTAGCTTTGATAATGCTTTTGGTATGTCTTGGCATACTTGAAATCAAATTATATAGTGTAGCTATAGTAATATTTGTTATTCTTCTTGTGCAACACAAATTAAATCACGTTTTAAAGGTTTTCATTTGCGAATTGATGATCGAGATGGTTCCACGAGTATTCAATTGAATTTAAATCCGGATTTTGTGGAATCTAATCTAAAGTTGGAATATCATTTACCAAGTTGTGTAAGACAAGGTGTAACAAGGTACAAGATCTTGCTGATAAAGTAAGGTATTAAATAATTTACTAATGTATGTCAGAATTTATATTTTCTTTAATTATTGTTAATGGTTCAACTTTATATTAGCTAAACAATATCAAAACATGACAGATTTTCTATTAAATTTAACTGTAGGTTTAATACAGATTATAAGTCTTGTTTATTTCTCTTATATTTTTATCTATCTATTTTAATTTAAATAAAATAAATTTAAATTATTTAACTACACAATCTGATTTATTCTTTTTTTTATGTGTTTTAATATTATATTAATCTAAAATTTATTGTTTTTTTATTAAAAAGATTTTTTTTTTTTATATAATTTTTTAAATTAAAGTTATAAAATAATTTTATATAATTTTATAATTTTATAATATATTAAAATTATAAATAATTTTTTTAAAAAATATTTAATATAATATCACGCTATATACAAATCAAATAAAGAAATGATGTTTACCTACAATATATATATATATATATATATATATATTACAATAAAAAGTTTTTGATTTATAAATACATGTATTGTAATATTGCAGGTTTTGAATCATTAAAGTTATAAAAACAAAGTTATTATTGTTAGAATTGCTTATATTGAAGCTGTAATTGTTAGATATATAATTGTTAACCTGCAGCTTTAACTTTATAATTATCATAATTATTAAAAACCAACTGTATTATAAATTTACAATATATATATAATTACAAATTAAGTACACAATTGAATAAAAATTAAAGAATATGATTGGATACAATTAAGCTATATATTAAAAAAATTTTTATCAATTTTTTTTTTACTGTTTGCTACTTTGTTTTCAATAAGATACAAATATAACCAATATATAACCAATATATCCAACTATATTAATACCTATAACATTTATCAATTTCATTAATTTTATTAATTTTATCAATTTTATATATTTACTTTTTGTTGCTTACCACTTGTTATTTGCCATTTTCTATTTTATTATTAACAAAATACAAAAATAAGTAACATATAACTGATATATCAGCTATATTAATACTTATAAAATTTGTTAAATTTATTAAATTTATTAATTTTCAACTTTATTATTTGTTTCTATTTAGCTATCAACTATTTTTTTTCCTGCTTATTATTTTGTTGCTAATAAAATACAGAGATAAGCAACATATAACCAATATATCCAGCTATATCGATACTTATAATATTTATTGATTTTATTAATTTTATCAAATTTATATATCTATTTTTTTCTAATTTGAACTTTTGACATATTTACTTGTAAATAAACATTAGTTAAATATGGAAACATTATTGATGTCTACTGTACAAATATTTGAAATAAATTTTTAAAAGTTGTAAAATTATCAAAAATAATCGATTTCTTACTGCAAAGAGTAAGTAGAGGAGGAAAGCAAAATCAACTAGCTACTTGTATCCTGTATGTAAAATTGTTATGTACCTTCAGTAAGAAACTTTGAATTAATACAGGTAAGATATTTTTATTACAAGAACTTACTTGTGAATATTAAACAATATTGATATTATCTCTAGTGAAAAATTCTAAACTAGTAATCTATATTGTATTGACTTGCAACCAGATATATTGTAACAGTATATATTATACATGTTACTGAAATTCATAGATCCTTGACACAATTGATGCAATTAATTGAGACACTATTAAAACATATAAATAATTGAGTCATAACACAATTACTTTTGAGAATTTTGAGAATTGAGTCAACAGCAAATAATTTATACCACATGTATAGTATATACCATGTGCCTTCAATAGAAAACTTTGAATTAGTACAAGTAAACTGTACTATTAAAATGTTGTTTACAACTATTGATATTTTGATGTTGTCTCTAGTGGAAAATCCTAGACTAGTAATTGAAATTTTTATTAATTTCTATATTTATATGCATGTTTTTTATACTTTGACTATAAAAGTTTAGCTGCTACAAACAATACAATTGATAAACAAGTATTGATATACAGTCAAACCTGGATATAATGAACCTGTTTATAATGAAGCTATAATAAAATACTGGTTATAACGAATTTTTGAATTTTGAATTTACTCAAAATTCATTATAAAAAGAGAATTTTATTATATAAATTTTTAAAAATTCTTTATACTGAATTTTTAAACAATTTTTTACTAATTAGCCAAAGGCTTCGTTATATCCAGGTTTGACTGTATACTGCAATCAGTAAATGTTTAATCATAATATAATATTTATATTGTATTATAATTTTTGTTTTTATATGTAGCATAAAATTTTATTGTATTTATGTAAATTTTAAAATATTCTTGGGTTATTGGATTCTTTATTATATATTTTATTTTTTTTTTATAACTCGATTGATTAATTATTATAAAACATTTAAAAAAAATAATTTAAAATCAATTATAATTCAATTCAAACGCAAATTTTGATTTTTTCCAAGAAAAAAAATTTAAGGTAACTATTAGTAAAATTGGCTATAATAATTCTTTAAGTGCCTTTATTGGTTTGATAGCAAAAAATATTGCTGCGCTAAAATTTTTTAGTATTATAAGATCGAATAGTTCTTTTAAATAATTATATTTTTTTGGTTTTTTTTAATTTTATAATACAAGTCAATCTTTCTAATAATTTGTCACCATTAAATTAAATATATGCACCCAAGTATTTAAAGTAGATTCTAAAATTCTGTATGGATGAAATATAGTCCAAGTACATTTATTTTAAATAGATTTCATCTTTTCTTAAACCCGTATTTTTTCCGTTCGTAAAACAAATCCGTCTTTGACGACCCAAGGTTCACGATTTTTGGACATCCGTCTCGCTATGAAATTATAAATTTTTGAATCAAATGAACATAATATACAATAGATTAAAGTAAGAACTTACATCCTTTTCTTGTAAAACGCATTCTTTACAATAGTAAGCATCGGATACTCCAGGGGCACCACAAATCACACAACGACCTTGGTATGATCCGTAATTGCATTCGTCACAAATCCTAAAAGAAATGTAAGAATGTAAGTTAACTTGCTCATGAACAGCTATAGTGATCTTTTCGAACTTACCGAACAAGGGAATCAGGTCTTACGTATCTAAGAGTAGATGAGGTGTTAGAAACGTAATTATTTAATATTAAATAATTAAACGGAAAAGTGTATACTCACGAATCACAGATAACGCATTTTCCGTCACATTTTTCGCATAAACGTCCAATAGCTTTGATTGAAGGAAAGAAGTTAATTAAATAAAATGTTAAGAGACGGAGTTAAAACTTGAACTTACCAATGCCTGGTTGTTTTCGACACATAATAAGATCTGGATGATGTTTCGCCATTTTAACTGAATTATCTGAATCAACGAAAAAAACAAGATTCCTTTATGTGAAAGTTTTGACAGCACCATATTTATAATTCCCAAACTTTATATTGTTGATCCGATTAGTAATTCTAATTTTGGCGTGATTTACCAAATATTTGACGACATTTAACGGTTGAATCTGCAGATTAGAATTTTCAAAGTTTTTCCAATGGATCAAGAAACCGCACAAGCATTATTTAATAAGAGTGCATTTCTACTTTTTTTAAATGCACCAAAAGGGTTGGAGGTAGATTTCGAATTATATAAACAATTCTTATAATAACAGACTATTTATTTAAAATGCGTGACAGTTTGGAATAGATTATAATTCTTGGGAGATCGGGCCAAAATTTAAAGGAGTTAAACTTATCCCCCCAGGCTTACATTTTGTATATTATAGGTATATAAAAACTTCATTAAGCCATTAGATTTCTGTAGTTTAGGAAATCACTTAATTTATAGTTCAAAACAGCACATCAGACAAGTCCCAAGTTTCCGGACTTAGGAATGGATTTTTTAAATTTTACGAATCACAAGAGGTGATCAAATTTATAGTATAATTTCAATTCAGATTTTAAACCTAGGCATTTGATAAGTATGTTACATATACAGATAGTAATTAAAGAATGGGATTCCTCGATAGAGGATCTAAAAAGGGATGAGGATATGGATCCCGAGCAAAACGAACGATTAAATTCAGGTAATATAATTAAATGAATCGAAAAACATTCGATCAATTTAAATAACGCTAATTAAATATATTTATTTATAGATATGCGACAATTCGATCAATTCTTAGGTGCCTATCCTCTTTCTCCGTCAACAAATTGGGAGAAATGGGTTCATCTGACAAACTTTATAACACCATTGCTAATTGAACGTGTGTTGCCACATAATGGAAAATTGAGTAATGCTTCTTCATCAACTGTTGATGAAGAAGAATTACAAAATATTGGGGGATCGAATTTTAAAGAAGATACTGTCATGTTCACAAAGTTTGACTTAAAGAAAAGTTGGAGATCTGGTGCAGTTGGACAAGAGATAACAAAATATAGTCAGGATAAGAGTTGGCTATTAGAAGACCTTCTTAAAAATGTTTATAATAATGGTAATAGGTTATGTTTTTCTCACTCATTTTTTTTGCAGCTACTAATTTTTATATGATTATTATTCTAAAGATTACAAAGAACTTTTAGGGGAACTTCAACTTTCTTTTGTTTGTCTACTGGTGGCACAGAATTTCTCTGGATTTACGCAATGGAAAAATCTAGTGCAGCTTATTTGTACATGTGAAGAGGCAATAAACACTTATGCGGATACGTTCTTCACCGATTTAATTGGTAACTAAAAGCAGTCATTTTTTACTTGCATCAAACTTTCGAAAATATAAACCTCGTTTTTTGTTTTGTAGATGTGATAAAATTCCAGCTGGATGAATGTCCGCAAGATTTTTTTTATGATGTGATATCCGAAAACAATTTTCTTTCTTCTGTATTAAAGGTCCGAATTGTGTGCTTTTTCTGATCGATTATTATTTCATATTTAATAATACTCACTGATATTTATTTAGACTTTGTATAAAAATATTTTGGAATTGGCATTGACGACTGAGCCTTCATCTTCTCTCCCGGTGGATACTCAACGATCAAAAAGACTTCATAATCTTAGGCGTAAGTTCGAAAAGTTTCGTGGTTTTCTCAACCGAAAATTTCACTGGGAGATTGCTGGAGATAGTAATAATGATGAGGAAGAGGAAGGTGAGTATGCTCCGGTTGTTGTAGAGCTACCTGAAGAAAGTAGTGATATTGTTTATATCACCGAATTTTCTGTGCAAGATTGATTTCTTTGGAATTTCGCTTGCTTGATGAGTTTGTCGATTTACATATAAAGATTGAATGCCATGTAAAATTATAAAGTTTGCTTTTCCGTATTTTATTACCAATGATAATAAAATATGTAGTTTTTAACTTTTATAATTTTTGAAATACATACATAGTTCCTTATAAATATTGATTCTTTGACTTTTTTGATTAATACGATTACCACAATGAAATTTATAGTAAAAAACAAAACCCGAATCTCTGAGGCCTACACCTTTATTTTTTTTTTTAGTTTAACAATTCATTAGTGTAAATAAACTATAATTTGTAGAATAACAAAAATGTTTGCAATAGGAACGTTATAATAATTTTAATGTTTTTTAAATTATATAATAAAATAACTGAATTAATAAATATTTATTTATATGTAATTTGAAACAAAAATTATTGAAATTTTTTAAATTCACATTTTAGCTTACAATTCAATAAGTAATTAATAAATAATTTATTTGAAAAAAATTTATTTTTATATAATATTATTTTTATTAAAATTAATTAAAATAATAAATAAATTTTTATTATAAAAAAAGTATATTGTTATAAACTATTTTATTATTTTGCAAAGTAGATTTATTAAATAACAAATGATAAAATTATATTTTTAAAGATTATAAAAATATTTTATAATTTTTTTTATATTTAAATTTTTTTTTTGAAATATATACTGTATATGTATATAGTTTGAAATAAAAAAAATATATCTAAAATTAAAATAATATATATAGTAAATGTATATATATTTATATTAAAGATATAAAACCTGTAGGTCCAAACACATAATTTCCACATATCTCACCTTATATAACTTTTATCTAATGATATGATTGGTTACAACAGAAAAAACAAGATAATAAAATATACTCTTTGATAAAAAAAATAACTTGATACTTTCCTTCTTCTCTTTTAAACTGGTTTCATTTTTTTTAAAAATCAAAGAAAAATCTTATTTCAATTTAATAATAAGCTAACTCTACTATTGATTATTTCAAAATGGTTGAAAAAAAAAGTTTAAAACCATCTACTAATTAAATAAAATTATAATTTCTTGGAAAACCAGTTGAAAAAAAATTACCAAATAATATATCAACTCTTTCTAAAGATCAAAAGTCTTTTAATATAAAGTTTTAAGAAATACTTTCTTAAAAATACATTTAAATGTTCTTGATTAACAATTAAAATAGTAAAAATTAAATAGATATCCAATTGCAAATAATTCAACTAAATATTATTCAAAAAGAGTTTTATTTTATTAATATAAACTTTTTTTTTTTTTTTCTATTTTATCTTTTTTAAAAAATAAAAATTTTTTTATCTTTATAAAATCATAGAAATTATATAGGGATAACAGTTCTGAATAAAAGTTAACTGTAATGTTTTAGACTAATAAAAAATATTAAAATAAAATTAAGCAATTTTTTTTATTTCTTATAATTATATCTAAAAACTTTTGACTTATAATAGATATACTGTATAGTATTAATAAGATTAGTATTATTATGATATTTCTTAATACATATACAGTATATAACCATTTTTTATATAAGATTAATAAATATAATAGAAATATAACTTAATTTAAAATAAAAATAAAAATAAAAATAAAACTTATAAATCTATAATACAATAATTAGTGCTTTATAAATTAAATTACAAAATATCAATTCAATTTCAAGTAAAAATGATCAAATAGAATTAATATAGTATTTAATATAAAAATTTGCTAAGTACTGTTTTTTATAAGAAATTAATTTACATGCTAATCTAATAAATATTAAAATTATAATTTTTAGAAAAGATACAGTGATATAATAATTATTTAGTTAATACTATAATAATTACTAGAAGTTATAATATATATAAAAAATATAGAAGATATTTGATTTTGAGTAAAATGACTTGGTGGTTCTTTTCTATAATACTTTATATTTTTTAAAAAAAATTACTATAAATATTTTATTTTTAATTATTTAATTAAGTTGTCTTTTCAAGATAAACTATTACAATTCAATATAGATAATAAAATAATAGAAGTTTCTAACTATCTAAATAGCTTAGAAAGATAAATATTATATAAGGTTTAATAGATTTTCAATAGTATTTTATTTGCCAAATATAAGTATTATCTTTAGTATTTCATATTTCAATTTCTTTTTAATTCTTCAAAAATAAAATCAATATAATATTTAAATAGTTTGCAATATTAATAGTATTTTGATATATTAGTTCTTGATCCAATATTTAGTTGTATAAAAAGTTTTAAGAATAAAATTAATAGTAACAAGTTAATATGAAAATAAAAATCAATATAGTTAGACTAATATAAAATAATTTATAAATAATAATTTTTATAATACAAGAAATATATTATGAATTAAATAGACTCTTTCCGCTGATCCTTTTGCCAACCCAAAAAACAGACGTTCTCAAAAAAACTTTTTGTTTTTATGATAATAAAG